TTAAAAATAAATATTTTGCAGTTAAGCTCCGCCCACTTGATTCACGGCGAATACAAATAAACATCACAATTGAGATAGGGTGGGTGGGCGGGGTCTATATTTTGCCTTTTTTTCTTACTATACACAGTATTCTTTGAACACCACGACACCCAAAAACATGTTGTTAATTTCTTGTTATAAATAAATATTTTGCAGTTAAGCTCCGCCCCCTTGATTCACGGCGAATAAAAAAATCATCACAATTGAGAAAGGGTGGGTGGGCGGGCTTACATATTGTCTTTTTGTTTTACTACATAAGTGTAGACTTCTTTTCACAACATGACACTTAAAACATGTTTAGAAAGGTAAATTTGTATAAGGAAATATCGATTTTGCAATTAGGCTCCGCCCCATAATTGCAAAATCCATATTTCATTGCAAAGATGTACCATTTTAACCATTATTATTATTATATTATTATCATGTTTTACGTTTCGTCTTGTGAAAAGATGGCTATGTATATTAAGAAAATGAAAGGCAAAATATAAGCCCCGCCCACCCGCCCTATCTCAATTCTGATGATTTATTTTATTCCTCGTAAGCCGAAGACGGAGCTTAATAGTAAAATCCTTTTTCTACGAGAAATTACCATGTGATATATGTTCTTAAGTAATCGTGTTATACAAAGAAAACTAAATGTATTAATTAAAAAAGAAAACCAAAAGAGAAGCCCCACCCATTCTTGTCGATCTCAATCGTAAAGAATTTTTCATAGGTTGTCAGACTGAGGGGCGGAGCGTAATTGCAAAATGGATATTTCCGTATACATACAAATTTATCATTTTAAACATGTTTTAAAAAGTTTCTTGTTGTCAAAATAAGTCTGCACATATTAAGAAAAAAAGGGACAATGTAGATGCCCCGCCCACCCACCCTATCTCAATTGTGGTGATTTTTTTTAATGGTCGAGAGCCAAAGGAACGAAATTTAATTGCAAAATCGTCATTATTTCCCTACAAGAAATTAGCATGTAAAACACGTTTTTGAGTATCATATTGTTCAAAGAAAACTAAGTATATTACGAAAAAATTATAGCCCAAGATTAAGCCCCACCCATTCCTGCCCTGATCCAAATATGGAGTATGTAATGAAGTTTTCATTCGTTGCCAAACCTAGGGGTGGAGCCTAATTGCAAAATCCATATTTCCTCAAAAAAATTTACCATTTCAAACGTGTTTTGGGTTTCTAAAAATAAAAAAAAATCATCACAATTGCGATGGGGTGGGTGGGCGGGGTTTATATTTTTCTTTTTTTTCTTAATATACCTAGTACTCTTTGAACATCACGATACTCAAAAACATGTTTTTAATTTCTTGTTAAAAATTTTTTTGCAGTTAAGCTCCGCCCCCTTGATTCACGGCGAATAAAAAAATCTTCACAATTGAGAAAGGGTGGGTGGGTGGGCTTATATTTTGTCTTTTTGTTTTATTACATATGTGTAGACTTCTTTTCACAACATGAAACTTAAAACATGTTTAAAATGGGAAATTTGTATAAGAAAATATCGATTTTGAAATTAAGCTCCGCCCCATAATTGCGAAATCCATGTTTCATTGCAAAAATGTACCATTTTAACCATGTTTCAAGTTTCTTGTCGTGAAAAGATGGCTGTGTATATTAAGAAAAAGACAGGTAAAATATAAGCCCCGCCCACCCGCCCTATCTCAATTCTGATGATTTTTTTTTTCGTCGTAAGCCGAGGACGGAGCTTAATAGTAAAATCCTTATATTTCTACGAGAAATTACCATGTGAAATATGTTCTTAAGTAATTGTGTTATACAAAGAAAACTAATAAATGTATTAATTAAAAAAGAAAACGAGAAGCCCCACCCATCCGTCTCTATCTCAGTCGTAATGGATTTTTCATTCGTTGTCAGACCGAGGGACGGAGCGTAATTGCAAAATCGATACTTCCCTATACAAATTTTCCATTTTAAACATGTTTTAAGTTTCTTGTTGTTGAAATAAGTCTATACATATTAAGAAAAAAAAAGGGAAATTGTAGCCCCGCCCACCCACCCTATCTCGATTGTGATGATTTTTTTTTATTCGTCGTGGTCCAAGAGAGGCGGAGCTTAACTGCAAAATCCTTATTTCTCTACCAGAAATTAAAAACACGTTTTTGAGTATCGTGTTTTTCAAAGAATACTATGCACATTAAGAAAAAAATACAGCCAAAGATCAGATCCCACCCACACTTGCCCTGATCTAGATATATATGTAGTCATGAAGTTTTCATCAAAATTCATATTATCCTAGAAAAATGTACCATTTTAAACGAGTTTTAAGTTTCTAGGAATCATCACAATTGAGATGGGGTGGGTGGGCGGGGCTTATATTTTTCTTTGAATAATACGATACTCAAAAACATGCATTTAATTTCTTGTAAATAAATAAGTATTTTGCAGTTAAGCTACGCCCCTTGGTTCACGGCGAATAAAAAAAATCATCAGAATTGAGATGGGGCGGGTGGGCGGGGCTTATATTTTGCCTTTTTAATTTAATATGTGTAGACTTTTTTTCACAACAAAAAGCTTAAAATATGTTTGAAATGGAAAACTTGTATAAGGAAATATCGATTCTGGAATTAGGTTCCATCTCATAATTGCAAAATCCATATTTCCTTGCAAAAATGTACCATTTTAACCATGTTTTAAGTTTCTTGTTGTGAGAAGATGGGCATGTAAATTAAGAAAAAAAGCCAAAATATGTAATCTCCGAAACTACTGGACCGATTGTTTTCACCCTAGACATCCAGAATTTTTGGAAAAAATTCAAAATTGAATAACAATATAACTTTGAAACTGCAAAACCGATTGCTGTGAAATCTTGTAAATAGTTTAAGGTTATCCTAATCATAGTAAATCGTTAGGTAAAATGTACTAGTTTATCCCCTCCCAAAAAATTGATGACATCATCTCAAATTTTGCCGAATAAATCCTATCCAAAATGTGCAAAATATGATGAGTCTACACTTGTGATTTATCATAGCATTAAAAATTTTTAAATTTCTTATACAGGTGACTCATAAAAATTAATGAATGAGTCAAGTTATTCTATCCGAAATGATATACACAAGTGGTTCTCGAGAGTCTTTCAAATTATTTGAGATTACAAATTTGATCCAACAAAAACTAAACACGAAAAATAGTCGAAAGCGCTTCCTATAAAATTTCCAAATGCGTTTTTTCGTCCCCTATACCACCAGTCCAGTGTTATTTCCAACCAATGGGAGCGATTTTACTGCAACCATATAATCTTAGAAAAACGTAACTAGAGTTTGAAAAGAAAATGAATGAAAAATTTTAATGTGAAAAAACACAAATTGTCGCTCAATTTAAAAAAAAAATCCGAACCCAAATTTGTCGTACATCTCAAAACAACCACATTAAAACCTCACGCGCAAAAATTAAACAGATGGACCGATTTCAAACTCGTTTACATTAAAATCGTTTGTTTATCGAACCACAATTTAGTCTGCCAAGCTTCAAACCAAACACGATTGTTATTCGTTTCGTCAACAACAAAACATTATATTCCAAATATTTTCTTTTTTGTTGTGGAACATAAATACAACGTGGATCAACACAACCGGATTTACGTCGATTAATTAACTGTTTCCAAAATTCGTCAAAATTTGACGTGTACTTTGCATCAGATTAAGGAAAATACACTTTGTATATGCTACGGTGACCACAAGTACGGAATGTTTTATGTCTTCAGTAATTTCAATATTACCTTGTTTGGTAAACTGTCCATCAGTAAACTGTGATTATATTTATAACTTTCCAATCAATAAACCTGTAGTTGGTACCACGATAGTACATGGCTTAAGGCATTTATGAACTGCGTATAATGTTCTGACACACTAAAAGTATTGAGTTTCTTAAGGTCGCCGCGATATCTCATAACGTTATAACGCTAAAACAGAGAAATATTTTTAAATTATTCTAAAACGTATAAATATCCATTTGGAGTCACACAAGTCATTACCAGTGTTATACAGGGTGAGACCTCTAGTTGTGTCACTACTGTGAGATACCAAAATTAAATTACCAAAAAAATGCAGTGAATGTTTAAAAATGTAAATAACTTCCTTATTTTCACATTGGTAGCTTTAAAATTTTGAATAATGACATAATCTGACATTACGATCTCTCAAATAATCTAGCAAAATTTCAAGGTCTACTAGATTAGAAGTTGTCATTATATTTTTTGTCGAAGTAAACACAGAAAAGCAGTTATTAACTTTTTTGTATTGAAAATGTACAACCCTAAGGAAACAATAGTCGAACTAAGGTGGTCGCAGAAATTGTTATCATTCAAAACTTCAACTATTATCTAAATAGTTAGTTTCAATACAAAGACAACAAGTTATCTCGTTTTTTCCCGATTCCGAGATTACTACAATAGTGAGAAAAATAGCGGCACCTCTCAATCCCACTTAAGTGGTTTTAGTTTTCACTTTGGTTATTACTGTTAGTGTTTTACTTCTTTTTCCTACTAAATTATGCCAAGAATTTTAATAAGGTTACAGAAACTGCCAAAGTCCGGTTTTTCGGAATAATTCCGAAACTAGTCTTTAAATCTTACAAGTTTTTTGCCCAACACATCCTGAACTCGCCACCCACACCCCAGCCTCCCGTTTTTCGTCGCATTATGCCGTGCTCGCATGCCGACACGTGACACTCCTCCATTCATCCTCCGGCCCGATTCAGCCAGCAGCCACAAAAAGGTACTCCGGGGGTCACAAGGTCCACATTCCTGTCCCCAGGCCCGCATTAAAATCCAATCAAGCCCGAAAAGCCGTCTAACGACGCAATTAAAGCCCCTCGGCCCCGAATCGCGCTTTTTGCGTTACTTTCGTTAATGACCGAAAGCGTGTCACGTAAACACCGATTATGAATCGATTTTTTGGGCGGTCTTGTGCGTATCGGAATGCACGCATAGCGGGACTCACCCGGTTGCATTCCAGGGCTTCGGCCGAATGCTCCTCTTTCTGCCGAAAGCAGTTGGAGCACTTGCTCTTGTGGAAGATGTTGGGCGCGAACTTCTTGCACTGAGACATGGTTCCGGCTCAACCGTCGGAGGCGGTTGACGACGCCGCCAAAACGGCCATTTCCACACTGACACTGGCACTTTAAATGGAACGAGATGGGGCGCAGCACGACTACACACTCACGACACGACGGTTCCACTCGGACTAGAGATGTGTCGTTCGCGAACGAACGAATCAAATTGAACGGGTCGTTCGAATGAACGAGTGACCGAAATCGTTCCCAACGCAAACTAGTCGTTCTTTCGTTCATTTCGTTCACTCGTTCACTCGTTCACCGTTCACATTGTCTCGACTGGATCTTGGTTCCGTTGGATCTTTGAATCATGGCACCAGCACAGTTCTATGTTCTGTATCCAATACTAGGAGCACATGCTATGCTATTTATGAAATTAACTAAGAACGTAAGTTTTCCAGACAGATTAATTCCAGTAGTATGAATTTAAATTAGGAACCGGGAACAAAAATGACAATTTATGACGATAACTACTATACAATGTTCATAAACGTCTGAACATTAGAAACTAAAAAAATAAATGTAAATTAAGAATTATTATTACTATTGTAATGATTATTAATAAAAAAAAAATCCGTGTTATTTTTTTAGAATACAGGATTGTGTGACGTCAAATTAAATCGTTTTAAATATGCTACGACCTGATTAAATAAGAATATTTAACATTTAACGTTCATTTGTTTTTGTCTATGACATTCAACTTTTTTTTTAATACACCGTCTACATTGTTTAGAGATTCTTCTAGTTTTTTTTTAATTCTTTGATTTAGCATATGCCATATTTTACTCAAAAGTTGCTTGGAAGCTGTGATAAAAACGAATTTAACTTTTGTGTCAAAAGTGCTATTGATGTATTTATTAACACAATTATTTGCGTCCACAAATTCAAGTTACTTTTTTTAAATATTAAATTATTATTTATACATCACAGAATTCGGAAAAAAATCGTTACATGAATCTCTAAAAAAATGGGAGGCATTAAAAAAAATTAAATGTAGACAAAACCAAATAAACGTTAAATCATTAATTTTTCGAATCAGATCATAATATATTTCAAACGATTTAATTTGACGTAGCACACAATGCAGTATTCGAAAAAAAAAGACAGCAATGGGCCGGGTTTTTTTTTTTCGAATACCTATGCGATAGTTCTGAGCATGACCTTCCCTATAAAGTGATCGGATTCAAGCAAAAGGGAAACTAAGACCATTGACCGAAGAGCCGAAAGACCGAATGATTCATCAATAGATCCCTGAGCCTTGAATGATTAAGAACGAAGTGAACGGTGAACGAAATGACCGAAATGACCGAAATGAACGAAATGAACGAAATGAACGACATTTGACGACCGGGTCTTCGTAGGGACCGAACGATGAACGACCCGTTCGTAGTGATGACCGAATCTGCCCATCCCTAACTCGGACTGACGAAAAATCAAAATGTGGACGGACGGGTTTTGGTTTGACGTTGCGCACGACGCGAAAGTCACCAGGTGACGGTTGGTAGAGGGGGCGAAAGTGGCGACACCGGTGGATCGAGACACAACTAAACCAAACTAGATTTAAAAATATTAAATTAATAATCATATTTAGTAGATAATCGTACTCACAGATTGAAGAGGACAAACGACGGAAAACAATTGAACAGACAAACAAATCCTAGACACAGGTATTGTTCCACTTGTATAGTAGAAACCTGTAATCAGTGACATTTGAGCAGCGCCATTTGCAATAACAATACCCGGCATCCCGGCAACCAGTTATACACGAAACTAGTGAAGTTGCGTGATGATTTCGCGAAGAGACAATCTTTTGGTGAGGCCGTGGCAGCAGAGGCGGTACGACAATCACAGAAAGAAGGTAAATAATAAAAACACGATAATGAATAAGTAACAATAAATTTAGGTGCAAACTGCAGCCCCCGCTATCGATAATAGAACGCCGTTGCCTAGGCAACACGTCACACTCAAACTCAAAAAAAAGCAGAAGGAATCCGAACGATGTGAAGAAATCGAGAAGAATAATTTTAGTTTATTGAAGAGACTGAGCTATGTGATGCGTACAAGCCGCGTCGACAATGCATGGAGCACCCCACAGCCAAAGTGAGTAAAAATGTAAATGTTGGCAACACTGCATAGAAGCTACGTTTAAAAACAAGTTGATCCGTAACTATATCATTTCCAGTTTCTTAAACCGCGTCTCCATTTACGACACCAAATTGCCAAAATTCGAAGACTTGTACATCGACGAGCCCCTGCGAACCCCCGACGGGCGCCCAACCCGAAAATCGAAGTGCCTGGCCTGCACGCCCCAACGTATCCCCGAAGTGAAGGTACTCATTAAAAAAGCACCCCCTAACGACTAACCCTTTGTAGATTCCAGAGGAGAGAATTCCCTGGGAGCCCGAAAAACCCACAATTTCGCGATTTCGGAGCAAATCCGTGCCCCCACCCAAACCCGTAGTCGTGGCTGAGAGAAAAGTGCCACGTTCGGCTCTTGCCATCGCGGAACCCCCGAAGAAAAAGAAAGTGGAGCCAAAATTCAGTGCCAAGGAACCCCAAAGTATTATTCTGAGTCGCGGCTGTTTGAAATTGTCGGTGAATTTTCCGTCAGATACCCTGGTGAAATTGAACGAAGGCCACCAGGAGAAGGTCCTCATTGATAATGTGTGTCATTGCAAGAGCGTCACCGCAGTGGCGATTTAAATAAATTTCCTTAAAAATGTTCCTGTATTGGCGAACGTGGTGGTGGGATAGTGGTATGAAGAATGAAATAAATGTATAATAAGTATATTGAGAAATATCCAATACTCGTTTGACATACAGGCTCATGTTTATTTACATAATACACACAATTAATCTTTAAAGACAAAGCATGGTATTTATTAGCTTAAACTATTCACTAACCGTCTAAAGTGGCCGTTTCCCGGAGTGTCTGCCCTCCGAACCGCTCGGTTATAACCGTCCGTTACAACCCAACGATAATTTATCCTACATTACGTAATAAATTATGAGTAAATGATGGTCCTAAGACGGTGCTGGATTCGTTTATTGTATTGTATGTATATAAAAATAAGGTACAGAAAGAAAATAAAATGAAAAACACATCCACGCATTTCGTTACCTACAAGAAAGCTATCTAAGCGCAGTTATACCGTTTGTTTAATGATATGATTCTTTTTACACTTCAATAATATAAAAAGTAGAAAATTCTGCTTACACTCTTCTCTTAAAATCCAACTTTGTAATAATTTCAACAGGCGTAAAGATCCGATTAGTTCCTTCAACAAAGTGTGTTTAGATGACTTTCTCGAAACAAGTGAAACGACTAAAAATCATTCAACTCACGAAATTTTGACATCGATTATTACCTATAATTACGTTTAATATAATACAATTGGAAACTCGCAAACTTGGCCGTTATTAATTACAAAAAATATAATTCCATCCTTATTCTACCTTGGCTTTAATAATTTAGCTCCGAATTTGGTCTGATGGCACGTAATTTCGACTTCAGATCAAATTTCGCGTGGATTTGGAAGCAACCAATTTTCCCAACTTTCCCTATCAACAAACAAACAAACAAACGATCGACATCCTCACATCTTACTTACACCTACTGTATAGAGTATTGACGATATAAAAGCTGCTTTACAATCTTTAACACAGTTATGATAACCTACAGAGAACTATTTAGTTGTGCTTCTGACTACTTACTGGTAATTGAGATGCGAGCGCCAAGTACACGGCTGCCCCGGAATTTCATAAAAAAAAAAAAATCGTAAAAATAACTTATATTCACACAACAATATGACCAGAACACGTTGGATTCTCTATCAAACCGATGTTTAACGTCACGCCGACAAAACGAAAGAAACACAAAAGTAGCATACATACACTTTACTTTTCCTAAAATAAATTTCGAATAACTACTGGATTCAAGTGGGTTATCCGTTGGTGGGTTTTGGTAATGGACGTACGAGGTACAACTTTTCGCCTTGTTTGTTCGTGTAGATGGGTGCTCTCTGGTAATGGTCGACGAGTTGGTCTAGGGTGTGGAATTTTCGTTGTCCGATGCAATACAGCGCTCCCTCGACGTGCACGCGGAAGTGCTTATTGCGCCCGGGGGCCTTCAGGGACACCGAGTAGTCGCCGACCTGAAAAAACATACATTCCAGTAAAACTTGCCCAGGTAAAAAAAAACGACTACAGATTGTGAGATAAAAGATGAATAGGGCCTGATACAAAAAATTACAGAAAAATCTGTGGCAAAACAATAGGGTTAGAAAGAGGGAGAAGGAGAACGAGAGGGAGAGAAATTCGAGAGATAAAGAGAAATCCGAGAACGAGAGAGAGAGATCGCAGAGGGGGCCCAAAGAAAGAGAGGGGGAGCGAGGGAAGCAAAAACAGAGCTAGAAATCAAGGAAAGAGAGAGAGAGACCAAGGGGAGCCAAAGATTCCAAAGAGAGAAAAGAATAAAGGAAAAGAAAAAACGACTACAGATTGTGAGATAAAGATAATGAACAGATGATATTTAAAACCCTATAAAAAAGTGTCAAAACAGGAGAGCGAGGGAGAAACACCAATGAGAGAGAAAGATCACAAAGAGAACAAGATCCGAGAAATCAGAGAGGATCCCAAAGATAGAGAAATTCCAAAAGGAGAGCGATATCCAAGAAAGAGGGGGAGAACAAGGGGAAAGATCCCAATGAGATAGAGAGAAAGGTCCAAAAGAAAGAGAAAGGGATCTCAAAGAGACAGAGATCCCAAAGAAACAGAGAGAGATCCAAAAAAACACACACACACAGAGAGAGAGATAAGAGATCTTAAAGAGATAGAGAGGTCTTAAAGAGAAAGAGAGAGATCTTAAAGAGAAAGAAAGAGATCTTAAAGAGAAAGAGAGAGATCTTAAAGAAAAAGAGAGATGAAAGATCTTAAAGAGAGAGGAAGAAAGAGAGGGAGAGAAGGGGGGGGGGGACAGAGAGAGGGGGGGGAGAGAGGGGGCAGAGAGGGAGGGATTGAGAAAGAAAGAGATCTTAAAGAGAGAGAGATGAGTGATCTTAAAGAGAGAGAGAGAGAGAAATGAGAGATCTTAAAGAGAGAGATAGATGAGAGATCTTAAAGAGAGAGAGAGATGAGAAGAGAGAGAGAGAGAGAGAGAGAGAGAGAGAGAGAGAGATAGATCTAGGAGGGGGAGAGAGAGAGAGATCCCGAAGGGACATAGAGAGAGATCTTAAAGAGAAAGAGAGAGATAAGAGATCTTAAAGAGAAAGAGAGAGATCTTAAAGAGAAAGAGAGAGATCTTAAAGAAAAAGAGAGATGAAAGATCTTAAAGAGAGAGGGAGAAAGAGAGGGAGAGAAGGGGGGGGACACAGAGAGAGGGGGAGAGGGAGAAAGATCTTAAAGAGAGAGAGATGAGTGATCTTAAAGAGAGAGAGAGAGAGAAATGAGAGATCTTAAAGAGAGAGAGAGAAATGAGAGATCTTAAAGAGAGAGAGAGATGAGAGATCTTAAGAGAGAGAAATGAGAGATCTTAAAGAGAGAGAGATGAGAGATCTTAAAGAGAGAGAGAGATGAAAGATCTTAAAGAGAGAGAGATGAGAGATCTTAAAGAGAGAAAGATGAGAGATCTTAAAGAGAGAGAGATGAGAGATCTTAAAGAGAGAGAGAGAGAGAGATGAGAGATCTTAAAGAGAGAGAGAGAGATGAGAGATCTTAAAGAGAGAGAGAGAGATGAGAGATCTTAAAGAGAGAGAGAGATGAGAGATATTAAAGAGAGAGAGAGATGAGAGATCTTAGAGAGAGAGAGAGAGAGAGAGAGATGAGAGATCTTAGAGAGAGAGAGGATCTTAGAGAGAGAGAGGATCTTAGAGAGAGAGAGAGAGAGAGAGAGAGAGAGATGAGAGATCTTAGAGAGAGAGAGATAGAGATAGATGAGAGATCTTAGAGAGAGAGAGAGAGAGAGATGAGAGATCTTAGAGAGAGAGAGAGAGAGAGAGAGAGAGAGAGAGAGATGAGAGATCTTAGAGAGAGAGAGATAGAGATAGATGAGAGATCTTAGAGAGAGAGAGAGAGAGAGATGAGAGATCTTAGAGAGAGAGAGAGAGAGAGAGAGAGAGAGAGAGAGAGAGAGAGAGAGAGAGAGAGAGAGAGAGAGAGAGAGAGAGAGAGAGAGAGAGAGAGAGAGAGAGAGAGAGATGAGATGAGAGATCTTAGAGAGAGAGAGATGAGATGAGAGATCTTAGAGAGAGAGAGAGAGATGAGAGATCTTAGAGAGAGAGAGAGAGAGAGAGATAAGAAAAGAGAGAGATGAGAGAAAGAGGGAGGAGAAATAGAAATCCTAGAGAAAGAAAGAGATCTTAAAGAGAAAGAGGAGAGGGAGGGAGAGAGAGAGAGAGAGAGGGAGAGAGAGAGAGAGAGAGAGAGAACTGAGAGAAAGAGGGAGGAGAGAGAGATGAGAGAAAGAGGGAGGAGCGAGAG